TCCTTAGGCAGAGAGTTTCTACACTAGCTCTCCTGTAGTATTTTGCTGAAATGCACAATTCAAGCTCTGTTATTGTAATGGCTAACCTTCATTGCCAACTTTGTTGAATGTAGAATCACCCAAGAGGTGATTTATAGAGAGGTTTAACTGAAAAGGGAAGACATCCTTTACTCTAAGCACCATCCTATGGCTGAAGTCCCATAATGAATAAAGATGGAGAGAAGAGAAAGGGGGCATGGTATTCATCACCTGCTGCTTCTTGCCAGCAACTCAGTGTCTTTGTTCATGCAAAATGGGCCAATTACTTCCTCCTTGGTCTTGGCCCTCATCCACACATCTTCCCCAGCAACCACTGTGTTGTTATGTTTCCTCTTTCCCCTGGATTGTTCTTGCCACTGGAAGGATCTGGATCTTGTTGTTTTGATTTCATCCCTTCTGCAGGGCCTAGCATGAAATGGATATTCAGGAAATAATAGATTGATTGGTTGCTAAGTATTCCTTAATTGAATATGATTTATCTTTGTTTACACACACACAAAAAAAAACCTTCAAACTTGGGTTTGACTTTCTAACAATCTCATGAGGGGTTTATTTCTGAGGGAAAAAAGTGAAAAGTAAGAACAATTTTATTCCACTTTCTCTTATAATTTCAGCATGAAATATGCAGAGATGCTCCAGTTAATTAAGTCAGGTAGGATCAGAAGAGAAAGAGGCATAATGAGCTGCAGCAAAGCCTCTTCATGAATGAAGGAGTGTGGTTTTTTTTATCATTAACAAGGTGTTAAGGAAATCATAGCCTTTCAAAAAGGACCTGGTATTACACAATTTCAGGAAAATCCTTATGTCTCTTAAACGTTAAGTGAGAATCTACTAAATCTTGCGATTGCTTCACTTGCTTGAATCAGGGATCATTATTTTGTCAGCAAACGGAATCTTCAGAAGCTGGGAGAGACAACTCCCTCCTGTAACTCCGGAACTTGGAAGGCAGAAGCAGGACTCTTTTTTAAAATTTGAGGCCAGGCTAGGCAAAATCATGTCTACAAACAAACAAACAAGTTAGGGGCAGAGATGGTTCATGGTTAAGAACACCTGTTGCACTTGCAGAGGATCTGGGATGGATTCCCAGCACCTCCGTGGTGGGCCACACAGTGGTGTAACATCTGTAACTTCTGCTCTAGGAGATCTGATACCTTCTTCTGACTTTCACTGGGATCCAGGAACTGACATGGTTTATGTACATACACACAAGCAAAGCATTCACATGACATGTGTAAATAGTTTTTCAAAAAGCTCCAACCAAAACAACATATTAAAAAAATTCCTCTCCTTATATCATTGTACTAAAAATTGTGAAATTTATTGAAAATGTTCTTTAGACCTCTAGTTTGTTTGTGGTTTCCTTTCAGAAATCTACAAAAGATTCATGAAAATGTTTCTGAAATACTATTTACATACATGGTAATGATCAGACTGGAAGACCAATTCTTGGCAGCCTTGGCTGTTCATTGCAATTACATAATAACAATGGTAACAAAGCAATTAACAGACCATAGGGCTGTGATGTACAGCGTGTTACATTATAAACACCTCATAAAAATGTTGCTGCGGAGCTGTGTGGTTTTCTTTTTGAGTCTGGCTTCTCCATATTTCAGAATTCGAATGATTCAGAGCAGAGCTAGGGGTGTAGATAAATTCAGAATTACCTTTGAGCTCCATGGAAAGGAAATCAGATACAGATGAGCTTCCTCAATAATTGCTTGCATTAAACAATGTGATGACACATTACAATGTCCTTGGCTTCTGCTTTTATTTAATTATGGAGGCAGATAAAAGCTTTTTTTCCTGGAAGGCCAGGTTTTGGTAAATTAGTTATTTGCTGACTTTTACTCTGCATGTTCCTCCAACACATGTTGTGTTTAGTAATTAAAGTGGATTGAACACAAAGCAGGGAGGATTTGATACAGGGGTTTCCTGAAAGACGGCCAGAGGATAGCTGATGACTTATTGCCATCATAAGAATTTCTGAGGATTCCCTTGTATGAAGAGATGTGTTAGAGGTCACTCTTGATAAGATAGTGGTGGTCGGTAGCCTTTGCCCATGTAATATGTTGTTACTTGCACCCATCCCATGCATGCGTTCATGTGTGTGTGTGTGTGTGTGTGTGTGTGTGTGTGTGTGTGTCTGTGTGTGTGTGTGTGTAACACCAACAGGGAACTGTGGGGACTTGGCTTCTCCCATGATGCCTGAGGTTTAGAGTCATTGGTGGAAGCAATGAGAGGTATAGTTAGTGGTTTGAGCTATAAACATTAGAGATTATGAGCTGCCTGCTTAAGTATAGATGGGAGGCCAGGTGGAAGCCGTTGGGCCCACTTTTGAACTGTCTATCAGACATGTTCAGTCCATGACTTGTGAGCCATGTGAGGGAGGCCTAGGATAGCTGCAATAGTGACCCAACACAAAATCACAACTTGAAATCTGAGATTTTATATTGTTACTTTTCTTTGAGATTTTATATTGTGACTTTTTTTTTTTTAAAAAAAACTTGATTGTGTAGTTCTTAAGTATATACTTTATAGTAAACCACCATGTTACTGTGTCAGAAGGCTGGACATGTATGATGGACAGAGGAGGACAGTGGCTTGGAGAAAGGTTGCCAGTGGAGGAAGTAAGGAATGGGTATGCATTCTAAAGGGAGAATAAAGAGTTGTTCATGGGTGTGCTTGATATGGAAGAAAGGTGGTGTTGTTAGGAGGAGTGGACAACTGTGAGGATGGAATTTTGGTGGGTGAAGAGTAGTGGAGGTGGGAAGTGGGTAGAGTGCTCTTGACCATCCTGCTACACCTCCCTGGTGGACCATGAATCCTCTGAGCATCTCATTACATAGTCCTAGCTAAGCTGAAACTCATTGTATAGAACCAGACTTGCCTTGAGTTCATAGACATCCTCTTGCCTCTGCCTCCCAAGTTCTAGGATTAACAGTGTGTGCCACCACACTCAGCATCTTTTAAGAGCTTGGCTGAGCTTCCCACCCTGCCCTTGTGTTTGTGGAAAGTGGTCATGGGTTGACTAGTGCCTTGTTGGCAAGATTGCTAGAACCCTTAATCTGCTGGGATCCAGGTAGATCTTGGAAAGGTCTGAGCCATGACACTTATCTCCCTACGAGTGAACCTTTGATAATGGCAATTAATCTTAATATGATGACTGACATTGTTAGGATGGGAATGCTCATTAGAAGCCTTTATAGTCAGAATACAAAACATGAGCCATCGTAAACACACCATAAAGATATACTTTTTAAAATTTGTCTGAATGAGTTTGTTCTGAATTAGATTGTTTCTTCTGTAATTCTTAGGTACAAATTAACAGTGAGCCTTGAAGCCCACTGTTTTCTTTACTGGAGGGTTGTTTGTTTCCCTGTTGTATGAATTGTGCTTGCACCAAGGTTTTATCAGAGCAATCTAAGTTGCTTAATTTACTGGTACAAATCTATTTATAATAGTCCCTTGTTGTCCTTTTAATATTTTTATACTCTGCAGTGATGTCATTTGCCACTTCTGACTTTGGTAATTTGTTTCTTCTTTTGCTTTTGGCTGTCTGTGTCCCCCAGTCTTACTTCAGTATTCCAATGCATTTTTTTTGTTATGCTACCCTTACTTTAAAAATATTTAGGGAGATTCCACAGATATTTTGCTGTTAAGTTAGAATTTAATTCTTTTGTGGTCAGAACACACACTTTGGATAAATGTTTTTAAGTGTATTGAGAATTGTTTTATGACCTAGAATTTGGTTTGGTTTGGTAAATGTTGGAGGGTGAAACATTTTAGAAATAACAATTAGATCAATTGGGTCCATAGTGTTTTTCATGTGTTCTGTATCATTAATTTTCTGTTTGCCTGTTTTACCTATTATTAAAGATAAATATTTAAATCTTCAACTGTATTCATGATCTGTCTCCCCTCTCTTTGTAATCCTATCTGTTTTGTGTATTTTAAAGTTTTTTTAATATAATGAAATACATAAATGTTCAAGATTATGATGTCTTTGTCAGTGAACTAACAGCCCCCTTATTATGAAAGAGCTTTCTCCATCTATGCTATTATTTTCTGTTCTGAGATTTCTTTCTCTGATACTTGTACAACTGGCCCGGCTTTCGTGTGACTCACATTTGTGCACATCTTCCAATTTAAACAGCACATTTGTAGGCAGCTCAGTGTTGACTTTAACTTATGAATCAACCTGACAACCTCTGTGTGTTAATTGGGGGTTGTGGGGCCACTCTCACTTAATATGATCATTGACATAGTTGGTACCCAACCTTTATCCTTTCTGTTTGTTCTGTCTGCTCTCTGCCCCCTTCCCTCCCTTCCCTTCCCTCCTCTTTTCCCCTTTTCATTGTTGGAGTATTTTTATGGCTCCATTTTCTTTCTTTTCATGGCTTATTAGACATAATTTGAATTTTACACATTAGAGGTTTCCTTAGGGCACGTTACAGACATGTCTACCTGGTATTTTTCAGGTCAGATGTTTGGATTTAGAGAATAACAAATGAAACCGAGTACTTTGCGCCCCAGCCAATGGTTACTGACAGCCAGCAACACCTTGAATGTCCCTGTGCTGTCATTTATGCACATTGGCTTTTAGATTTCAGTCATAGTGTTAGTTTCCTGAGGTGAGGGCCCTGCAGCCTTCCCTGACCACTAATACTTTTGTATATAGGGTCTTTGTCCATGGGCCACACTTTCTAGGTGTTATTATTTTTATGACAGACACTGTGACCTTGACTTACTGTGGTAATAGTATCAAGAAGAATAGATGCTTCATGGTCTAAGTTTAACTCACCTAATCCAGACAAAGCCACACATGGGAAAGGAACTGGAGGCTAACAGATTTCCCCATTCTTGGGTTTTTCAGGGCTCTTGAATTTTTTTTTTTTTAATATTGAACTTCCTGGTTATAAAAGAAAAAACTTATGCTCTTGTTTCCTTTTTTTCTTTTCCAGCAAGTCACTGGCCGAAGTTTTGGTGATAAAGACTTCCGGACAGGCCTAGAAAATGGGATCCTTCTTTGTGAGTAAGTATACTTCCCTTGGTTTCATTCTAGGAATGTTCTTGATATTATTGTTTGCCTGTAAAACTTCCAGGGGAGTATGCTTTATTTACTTTTTATTTTTATATTTTTATTTATTTATTTATTTTTAGATAGGGTCTCATGTACCTCTGGCTGGTCTCTACCTCCTGGTCTGGCCTCCAGCCTTTTGTTTTTGACTGAGTCATAGTTTGAGTCTGTGTGGCATAGGAGAAACCACTGAGATAGGTGGAGAACACGCATGGAGAGTGAGTATGTATGCAAAGGAAATGGTGGAGACCAGAGCTGTTGCAAATTTGATGGAGAAATAGAACCCATTGGTAGGACTCTGCTCCCAGTAATTTCGCCACGTGGGAACTTGTACTTGTGAGGATGTGGGGCTGACTGTGCTGCAAGTGAACACACCTCTTTCTGGAAACTCAAGGCATCTTAACAGTAGGCTGGGATGTGTTCTTTCTTCCCTAGCCCTACTATGTGCAGGCTTTGGGTCCATTGATATATATAGTATTCCAGAGTAGATAGTGATGGCAGGTGTCTCTTGTGCTTTGGAGCAAGGCTCTGTCATAGTGACAGTTGAATTAGGTGCTTTCTAGAAAGTGGCTTTAGACACTAAATAATCCAGAGCATTAATATTTATGGATGTATGTGGACCTAAACTTTTAACCAAGTCTTCAGATTTTGAATGTATTTAATAGACTGTTTAATTCTGAGACTGATTTCTATTTTAGTGAAAGGTAGTAGGCATTGTGCTGGCTAGTTTTAGATCAGCTTGACAAAAGATAGAGTTAAGAGGGGCCCTCAGTTGAGAAAGTATCTCCATAAGATCTAGCAGTAGGGCATTGTCTTACCTGGTGATTGATGTAGAAGGGCCCAGTCAATTATGGGTGGGGCCATCTCTGGGCTGGTGGTCCTGGGATCTATAAGAAAGCAGACTGAACAAGCCACTGGGAGCAAGGCAGTAAGCAGCACCACTTCATGATCTCAGTAATCATCTCCTGCCTCCAGATTCCTGCCCTGTCTGAGTTCCTGTCCTGACTTCTGTGGTGAACAGTGATGTGAAAGTGTAAGCAAAAACAATATCAAAAACAAAGCAAAAACAAAAAAACAACAAATAAACAAACAAACAAAAAAAAAAAAACCCGTTCCCTCAAGTTGCTTTTGGTTATGGTATTTCATCACAGCAATTCCAACCCTAACTAAGACAGACATAAATCACACTGTTCCTAAACATGAAATCTGAAGGACACTTACAAACCAGTTCTACACCCCTATTGAGCTATAAAGTAGAAACTTCCCTTTGCCTTTTGTTATTTCCCACTGAGTCACAGCTCCCTGGTGACTATACTGTTCCAAGCTCCCCTTCACCACAGCATACTGGGACCTCTCCTTGAGCATTAGGTAAATGAAATCATATATTGTGGACTCTTACTTTGGCAACTTTCAGAATATTGCTTGTTGAGGTTGAAAATTACAAGGATTTTGGAGCCTGAAAATGAACTGTCCAAGTCCCTACTTTTTTTTGAATTATCTAACCTCTCCAGTCTCATTTTTCTCTAAATGGCAATACACATTGACCTCTCTACTGCCTAGGCACTTGAGGACTTCGCCTGTTTAAAGGACTGTGAAGTTCTTTATAAACAAGTGCCATTTATTTTGTAGACTCTTTTTTCGACATCTGAAGTCTGAGGACAGGGTGGGAGATTTCCCTTCCCACCCCTGATGCTAGCAGATGCATTTCCCAGTACTTGGGTCCTGAAGCTGATTCTACCAATAAAGCTGATTCTCAGGGGGAGTAGCTTGCACTATCCTTCCCATGGCTGGCTCTGAAGCATAGCCAGGATGCTTAGAGTGTGTCACCATCTAGAACTGGAGAGGTTGGTAGGTGCTGGTGAAGGAGTTTTCACTCAGAGCTTTAGGCTGTCTTGTGGCTCTTAAAAATACAAAACCTCTACAGTTCCAGCTTTTTGAGAACTAAGCAGGTCATTTCTCTTTTGAGTGAGTATTATGTAGTCTATTTCCTTTGTTATGTTTTAGATATGGGATCCCCACCTGCACCCCCAGACTCATGAGCTTGAATGTTTGGTCTTCAGCTGGTGGTGCTTCTGGGGAGATCATCGAACCTTTGGGGGCCTAGCTGGAGGAAGTGGGGCACAGCAAGACAGTTAGCCTGGACATTTAGCCTAGCTCCACTTCCTGTCCCAGCTCTGCTTCTAGACCTAGGCAGTTGTGAGCAAACAGCCTCCTAGGTTTCCCATCACCAATGAGAACTAGCTTTGCCACCAGACCTTCCCTGGTGTGATGGACTATACCCTCAAACTTTGGAGTCCAAATAACCCTCCTTCTCTTAAGTGATTTCTTGTTAGTTCACAGCAATAAGGAACAATAATGCAGATTCAAAGTAAATGATATAGTCTATAAAAATTAATTAGGACTTTTAAACTTTGCATTATTCAAGCTCAGTTGAGGGCTTCTATCAGTGTTAAGACCTTAGTTAGAAAATAAACAAACTCATTTTCCCAAACTAGATTAATTCTTGTTATTAGTTGCAACTGAATAGAGACTTCTATGATCTTTGTGTGTCAAAAATGCCCTGGGTTGTTCATGAGTCTAAATAACAAAATAAAACCTCTCCTGGTTCTCGCTGAGAAGTAGTGCATTTCCCTATTAGGAGCCTTGCTGCAAATTAACCCCTGGGTCCAAAGGTACTATCATTAAACCCATTTTACAGGAGAAATAGCGAAAGCATAGAAGAGGAGTAAATTACTGTTTGTGGAACTAGATTTTTTAGTGGAGAGAGAAGTAAGATGTTGTAGGATGGGCTTGGAAGGTTGAACGGCTGATAGAAGAAAAGCTAGGGTGTAGAGAGAAGGGCAGTATGAAGCTGAACTGCTAGCTCTCAGCTGGGCAGAGAGTGAACACACTGGATAGTTTGATGGTCTTAGAAAAGTAGAAGTAAGGCAGGACCACAGAATATAGAGATAGGAGAGAGAAAGAACAGGAGTCTGGTCAGTAGATGACATCAAGACTTGAGCATCTTTAAGCAACCAGATGGAAACGGAAGAGCATGATGGACCTGAAACAAAGATGAGAGCAGAAGAGAGAACAGATAGATGCCCACAGGCAGGATGTAAAATGAGAAATGAGTAGCATCACAATCCCTTCCCCTGAGACTCTCTGCTTTCATGTGGCTTTGCACTGTAACCCGTATTTATATAAGGATAAATAGTTTACAGGTAGGAACAGCAAGTATAGAGTGAAGACATTCCTTTAACTCTAATAAATGTGTTTTCTCACCTTCCTCTGTTGTTTTGCTAAGGGTGTGTACTGGAGGTTAAGTGCTCTAGTTGCTTGCTGAGAGCTTCATAAGAGGTCTGGGATCAAAGTGTGGCTAAGCTGAAAATATGTGATAAGTGTCACACTATCAGAAATATGGACCAAATACTACACTATTTTCTTGAGGATGTGAGGGCAATGTAGTCCATAAAGAAGCTGCTCCTGGGTTGGGATGGTGACTATAGCTTTCCAAACTGCCTCTTAATCACTCCAGAAAGGAAAGTTCCTGCCATCCTATTCTACCACAGACTTTGTCATTTAGACAGACCTCTAAGGAATTTCATGCTGATACGAGATTGACAAATTATAGTCTTCTTCTTACTTTTGTACAGGCCACCTTGTTCAGAATAGCTTCTTATGTGTTCAAATGTCTTTTCAGAGGAACTTGATGAACTCCAAAAGGACTATGGGATTTACTTTAGATGTAAATTGCTTATTTTCATTGAGGTGATTAAGTGTGATCAATACAAGATACTACTTCAGTTAATCAACTTTATTTTAAACCAAAGAGTCACTCAGGAGGGGTTTCTTTCAAGTTTTTCCTTCAGCTTTTCATTATGAATAATTTCAAATTTATATAGCAACCATTATAGTATATAGGTACCTGTATGTCATGCACCCAGACATACTGACTATTCTCCTTTTGCTATATGTATGTCATTTATTCGTGCATACATGCCTCTTTTTGCACTAAACATTTGAAACTGGGATGCAGATATCATGAAACTCAGCTCCTACGTTCTCAAATGTGCATCATCTAAATTCAAGGATATTCTCCTATAGGACATTTAGCCATACCCAAATCGGTGTGAGAAAGCACAGTAAAGTATACTCTGTTGCTTGCTTGGCACTCCACCTTTAGCTGTCCCTATTATTGTCAGTGGAACTAGACCAAAAGCCAATTATGATGATGACATGGTCAATGCCCTTATGTCACCATACACCCATCCATGCTTTCCTAGGGGCTGCCAGCTAGCAGCAGGGTGAAGGAATTTGCATTTTACTTTTGAGTTTCTCTTGTCTGGTTTGTGAGCAAAAACTGGGCAAGATATATTGAGTCCCTTACAAACCCGCTCATCTGTGACTAATGAGCCTTGGCTGGCAGAGCTTGGGAACTAGAATGCTTATTTTGCAAACAATAACCTTGACCACTGTTCTGATGTCACTTCCTCCTGCTTCTCCAGTTTGCAGTGGGTCTTCCCTTGGGCAGCCTGTTTAGAGCTCTCCAGGCAGAACCAGTGGGTTTCCCTCAGTGGTTTCTAAGTACTGTTTTTACCCTTTCTCCAGTATTATCACAGAACTCCATCTCTGTTGTGTATCTACATCTATTGCTTACAATAAACCCCCAGCTTCTTGAAGATGCTTTTTGATATATCCTTCCTTCACTGGACACTGGCTTGTATTTCCTTCACTGGACACTGGCTTGACATGTAACATCTGCTCCATACACTTGTTGAAACTAAGATGTAGTAGTAAATCCTATGCCTGGGGCATCAGTGGCAACCCTTGTCTATCTTCTCAAAAATATTATTCTCTCTCTCTCTGTCTCTCTCTCTCTCTCTCTCTCTCTCTCTCTCTCACACACACACACACACACACATTTCATACAAAGAACATATAGATGAATATTAGGGCAGTGAAAGATGGAGGCA